ACGGACTCAATTAAGGCACACTGCAATAGCACTGTCAGGACGTCACAAAGAAAACACAACAGAAATGTGGGCAAGAAGAACGGCAATAAACATGAAAGTGCATACGCGGATTTCAAACTAGCACTGTTCAGGACTCTAAAGGGGGAACACAGAGAGCTACCTTGAGAAAGGGATGCATATCTGAAGAAAGGCTCCAAAATAGTCCCCCAAATCATTCAGGAAGAAGGCAAGAATAGTAAAACAATTACATATGGTGCTACCCACAAAGAAAACAGGAAATACAGTGCAGTACGGAAAAATATAGAAGACTACTAAAACAAGCAGCCTATTGTGAATGCAAACAAGAATTTAAAAGAGATCAGAAAGGGATTCCAAACTCCCCACAAAAGCTCTTGCAAACCACAAAGTCCAACAAATCAGCTAAGGAGAAACCAAGCAACACTACAGACCTAATTAAACCCTCTTTACTCTGTAGCTCATGCTGCACTCAAACGGTATAGGGAGGGTTCTTTATTAAACAGATGTCTAGTGAAAGTTCAATAAAAATTTTAGCACTAAGGGAAGATTACGCAATGGGAATGTAACTTGAAGAGGCATTGTCTTAGTAAAGCAGCATAGAAGTTAACGTGAAAACAATTAGGCCTTTTGTGCTCACACAATTGGCTAAATTAATGCTTGAGTGAACACAGAAATTTTATGTATCAATTAAATTGTAAATTAATTTACCAAGCCGTGGTAAACCTACCATCTTTCCAAGTAGCTGTACAAATGTTTCACTACCCTCTCGGACAGAGGACTGCAGCCTTACAGTAAGAGTGAAGTCATGTAGCTTAGTTCTCTCACCACTGGGTTACACCGTGCCTTTTGGAAGAGCTTCTCAGCAGAAGGCCATACAAAATTCTATGCGTTAATAATGGAAATCCTAATCTATATCAATGAGCAGTGCACACTGCACCCAGAGGATCAGCTATTTCCTATGACTCTTAAGGGTAGAAGCTGTGGTGGCAGCTCTGTAAATACTTGGGAAAGTGCTAATTCTTTGGGTTTTTAGTAAAAGCAGTCCTGGGGAACAAAAGAAAAGGGGTTTAAAAAAATAGCTGGTTCCACCTGGCATTTATGAAAAAACACCTGCTACCTCAGAGAAAAAGGCTGACTTGATGAGCAATAACGACAAAAAAGAAGGGAACAGGCTAACGGCTAAGGAGGTCCTGCTATAGGGGGGTAGGCTTGAGACAGAGCTAAAAGACAGTCATCCTACTGGTAATTTAAAAGCAGAACGTGTCTAACTGAGCTCATTATAGATCTTAATAATATGTGTACTTTGACCATACAAGAAATGAGAGATTTCAGGTGACTGGCAATCCAAGGCAGACCTCTTCATGATTTAATTTCCACTCAGCTCAAGCCAGCACCATCCAGCTCAGATCAGCAGTAATTAGATGTTCACCTGTTTAACGGTCAATGCCTTGCATGACATGAATTACAGACTACACAAACCCATTTTGTGATCGGCTTTTTCTTTGCTTTATATTGCAGTCTCTCATGCCCTGTTCCCTCCAAAAGTAAAAACAACAAAAACCAAAACAACTCACTATTCATATTCATCAGTTCTCAGTTCATAAAACCATGCACACATTTTAAAAACTAACACCTCCAGTAATGATCTTGCTTGGCTGTACTGCATATATGAAGCTTGAAGGTCCTGAATCAGTAATAACGTCAGTGAACGCAGAAATTGGTATTCTGACACACCCATGGGCTTTAACAAGGCTACCCACATACTCGCATTGCACTGCAGAGGCTTTAGTATCCATATCTGACAGCTAGTACTGAACAGCTGTCATGTGGTTCCAAAAAGTTTAGAAAAGAGGGACTAGTCAAGACATTTCCTAGGCATGCGTCAGCTGGTAATTAGCATAAGGCAGAGAAGCCTGTAGCTGATCTGCTTTAACATAGCTTTACCTGGGCAGCCTCCCCTACGCTTCACCAGTCAGATTGTGAAATCTCTGCAGGCTTAAGAATGTTTGACTTCCATTCTGATCTTGGAAACTCAAGATTCTTCCCTCAAATACAAATTAGAGTGTCAGTACCGCTTGCTATTTAAGAGGCTACTGTCAAGTGCAAAATACAATCTAGTGGAAAAAATTCATTAAAGTCATCACTTGACACATGCTGAATCTCTCATGTCCTGGAGGCAGAGAGATGTACCCTTGCCGAAATGCCATCTTCTCTACCAGGTGACCCTGCAACAGCAGCAAATCAAGGATGGAAGGCTTCTGTTGCCAAAAGGGCAGATTTGTCCAGGTGGACAATCTCGTCCTGACAGCCTGGTGTCACTGGGATCTGACCTTGTTTACACATACACTTTGCTATGCTTGTCCTGTCCCTTTCCCTCCCATTTTCTGAACATTACAGTACCAAGCTCACTATCAAGAGCCCTGTTCTGTGACCACGAGGGAAGGAGGAAACGGCACACAAGAGAAAACACAGTGTGTCTAATTTTAGCTCTCCTCTATTTCTAATGGAATGACTTCAAAGGCAGCAGAAAAACTACACTCAGTCTGCTCCCATTAAAGCCAGCAATAATTTTCCTATCAACTTCAGTGGGAGCAAGGCCTAGGAAAAGCATATGGCATTGGATTCGGATAACATACTTATGAGACAGAACTGTGGCAAAGGGAGTGTTTCAAACAGAGCTGTAGTTGTACACAGTGACTTACTCAACCTCTACTCTATTTGGCATGGTTGAAAGAAAAATGAAAAGACAGCAAATCAACAGCAGAAAAGAAAGGTGAAAGACAAGGAGGTAAATACCTATGACTTATTGCAAACTGGGTCATCACTCACTGTACAACTCCATTCGGCTCAGCTGCTTTTCCCTTGGAGAAATGAAAGAACAGCTGTGTAGGTGATGCTTGCTTTTCTGACAGCCGTGTACCTCTTCCTGTGCCTATGCATGGTCCAGAGCTTAGAGACCAAGCTGTCACGTCCATGTGAGAGGAAGGGATGAAGCCAGAAGCACTTCCCCTTGCACAAACTTGTATCTCAGCACATCAAGGTGGGAGCCATCATGTCAGTCCAGCCTATAAAGAACCTCAAAGGCCCTCACCTGCAGCTGATGAAGGTGAAGCACATGGAACAGAAACCAAGTATAACCAAGCTACACAACTAAGGAGAAACACAAGACTCATTAAGATTTGAAAGAATATCATCACTATTGTGTCAATGTGAGTGCTAGTACTAAGCAGCTTTCCAGCTATAAGAGGAGATCTGAAAGTAATTCAGTAAGTAAGTACAACCCGAAGTGAGGGTAAGGTTAAGCTAGAACATGCCTTAACGACTGGATGGAGAAAGCGGAATTGGACCCTCAAATTAATCAGAATAACACTGGGACAGAAGAGAAAGGAATCACAATCAACATGATAAACATACTTTGAAATGCAAATACAAGACCAAGATTTGGTACTATCTGACAGGCACTAAGGTGCCTGGGGGAATTCACACGTACAAACTGGGCTTTCATACTAGGAATGCTGCTACATTGCCACTTTAAAATGAGTACGCACTGCACAGAGAGAACACAAGACACTATGGCTGACTCAAGACCCAAGCCAGTAAGAATACAAAGACTTGTTAATAAGACAAAAGTACATGATTTAAATAGTGCTTAAGTGGCAACCAATGCCCCTACCATTTTATCAAATCCATCTTCCACTTCTCATTAATGCTAATCACTTCACATTCACAATAGCTTCTACAGCTTTGTGACAAAGGCCATCTACTGGTGAATGGGATGTGCAAATTAATAGGGTTTGGGTTAGCCAGATTTAGCTAGAGCTTGTCAAAATTTACAGAAACATGCAGCAAAACTGTGCCAAGCAGCTGTTTATTCTTGAGCAATGTCTAGTTAGCAAGCATGACCACAGTTTTTGATGAACAAGTAAATAACTGAAGCATTCCTGAATTCCCCAAGAACCGAAAGAAATGTGATTTCATCCAGGGATATGGCATCTTTAATCCCTGCCTCCCCAGTTCAGGCCTACTTATCTTGACACTCAATTGCTCTGTGTAAAACGAATCAGTGGTGTCAGCCTTGCTATTGAAGATAAGGATTTTACCCTGAAAAAAATCACTCCCAAATCTAGTAGCCCTGTTTTCAAGAGCTATTGGGGCTTGAACGATGAAGTTTGCAGGCTAAAGCAGCAAATATTTTAGTTTGTTATGTATGGACATCTACAGGCTGTAAACCATAACTAGAGTCTTACTAGCCCTCCCCGATTTACAACAACAGAAATGGAAGCCAGTCAAGGAGATGGAAGGGAAATAAAGCAACCCCAAATCTTTACGCGCTGTGATTCCTCTGGAGAGGGCTGAGACAAATCAGCAAGAGCATTAACGTGCAGTGACACAGAGAGCCCCACCTCATTCTAGTGTCTCCTGTTCAGCATCTTCAGGGGCAGTAAATCCATTCTTTAATATTACTTAAAACTCTCAGTACTTAATCCTGGGTTACAGTTTTGCTGGCCTTACTCTGACAACAAGCATAGCAGAAATTCCACACAGTATGGTTTGCATGCTACTTAAGAGTGCCTACTGCTTATTCTTAATTCATGAAGAGGTATCTAATAAAACACTTCCCTTAGCTCTTTTTTAAAGTACTGTAACACTTAATATTATGATTTTAATGAAAGATGTTAGAATGATGGCACTAGAAATTGCTTCTCCTAATTATAGCACAATATTCTCCTCCTCCATCTTAGTCTATGAGTCTTAGGAAGTCTGCTTAGATCAGGATTAAACCAATTTAACTGTTTTGTCCTTCTCCTTTTTGCCATGAGAATTTGGAAGTCTTTACAACCTACAGAAACTTATTCGCTATGAGCTAGGCTGAAGATACCAAATCATTTATTACAGATAATGTAAGCGGGGGTAGCTATTTTAGGCTGGCTATGCACAAAACAGAAGTTTCTGTTCCACACAAACAAGTGACATGGAGGAAAAAAGTCTGTTTCCACGAGGTAATCCTAGCCATTGAATCATAATGGTTTGAGAACAAAGAGAATGGTTTAAGAAAAAGAGGTGTTTGTTTACACCTTTTCTTAAAATCAGTTTCTAGAGCCATCCATAAAACGATGAGTGATGAGTGTAGCACGGTGAGTGAAAATGCTAACTTCACTTAAGGAAAAGACATTTAAAAAAAAAGTTAAATGAAGACAACTGTCTCTTTAATTGCAAATAAGGCTCTGATACTGTAAGATGCCAAATGCTCTTTACTGACATGCACTTCAGTCTGAGTAATTCCTAAGATCATCTTCTATAAGACTGAGAATTTATGGATGGCAGGTGAAAAGAAGCCAGCAAAATTTGCTGTAAACTTTAAATACTCTCTAAGAAGTATATTTGTCCATTCCTCCAGAAGTTCATTTTAGGAAACTAATATTAGACAGTAAATTATTTTAATTACACTACTTTTATTCACTGTAGAAGCAAACCGTTCTTTCCAGTACAGTACGTTTAGTAATCCAGGTGCCTTTCAGATTTATTTACGATACATTAAGGCTGTGGGTAGTTTTGCACCTGATGGCGATTTGTAGTCTCCAGCATAGATTTTTTTAAGGAATCTTAGAGGAGAAACAAAACAAAGCAAACTCAACTTTGAGAGATAAGATAGTACATATAAATACTTCTGTATGTAAGTACATAAGTTAGTACATAAAATTTTCTAAATAATATCTTATTCTTCAACAAAACTGCATTATTATCAACTTGGAGCAAGCTCATCTCAAGTCACCATTTTATAGTGAACAAAACCAGGCTGCTATTGAAAATAATATCAATTCATTTCACTGTTAGCCCTACTGTAGTGTCTCTGCCCCACCTTCATTTTGAAAAATGGAGCACTCACTACTAAGAGGGTAATCCTTATATTGTCATGACAGTCCTTTTTGACATATCCAGTCCAACATAAGTAATTTTAAAAACTAAACATTTTAAGATATTCCAGCATTTCTAGATGGGTACCCGTTGATTTAACGTGAAAGCAGACACTCCTGAATATGAAGATGGCTCTTGTTGACAACACACATTCAGAATAGTTTTGTCTTCTTTTGCTGTATAAAAATGACTTATTTTAGAAGTGCATCTGCACATAGCACTAGCATTCTGCTTATTCCTCCTGTGACTACATTAAATAAGACTGATGATCGCAGCTTCTTGCAGCACCCCATTCAGTGGCAAACTGGACATGCCACCATTTAGAAACGCACTAGCAAACAGCCCACAGAACAACAAATATTTTTTAGTTTGCCTCAAACTTTTCCAAAGTGACAATATGCAATTTTAAAAACAGAATTTTCTGTTCTCTCCACTCAGGACAAGGCTCTGTCATCAATGAACTTTGGCCAGAGGCTAAATCACAAATTCTCCATTATAAAGTCATGCTGCTGCTAACCTTAAGAGCAAGCATAACCTCACGAGCAAAACACCTTCACTGTTTCACCAACACCTGGCAGAAAAAAATTTGTTGAAAAGGTTTAAGCAGTCCTGTCATTAAACTACTTCATCATCAAAGGAGCTGAACTATACAACATTTAATTTATACTCTCCAATTGCAGCTCCTGTAAATCACATTAATTATACTTATTTTACATTTTCAAAACACTGTACAAATCCTTTCAACATGCTGGGCAAGAAGTTTAGCTTTATGCTAAACAGAGATGGGGACACACAACCGTTACCATGAACTCCTGTTGAACTGCACATAATTATCTCAAGCTACTTAGACCGTGGACCTAGCTGTTCCAGAGACAGCAACATCCAATTTTAATGATTTGCTTACTTCTCCAACAAACAGAGACAACTTCGTTTAGCTTTACCGTAACACGGTCAGGCCCCCCTTTTAATTCAGATTTTAGATTAATTCTTCTCCTTAAGCCTCTAAATTTGGAACTGCTGGCATGTTACTGAATTGAAAGGAGTGCTGCTCATATTACTTATCAAAAGTGTCCAAAAAAAATCATGGATCCGTTTTCTCAGTGCAATGCTAGAAGTTTGGTGCAAGAGAGATTGGAATAAGAACGAACACTGATAATAGCTCTAAGTTTCTTGATCTCAAATACATTCAAAAGCAAGATTACCTCAAAATGTACAGTTGACACCAGACAATCTAAGAAGTCCATCTACCTCTATTTCATCTCAAATATTATTCAGTTAAATATTGTACAGTCCCTAAGGAAAAAAGAAATACGAAAATAACTCAGGAGGGCCACCAGCCATGAAAATGCTGTTTATCTCCAAACAGCATCATTTCTTCTCAGATTGTAAGAGGTTGGCATACTCATAATATTGGCCTGTGCAGAACTGTGCCGTGCAAATGCCTTGGATGAGCGCTAGTACCCATTAAATTTGTATTAGCCTGTTCCAGGGAAAAGGCTTTATTGCAACACTTCAGCATAGTGTAAATTTCAGAAACAAGTTTGGGAAACAAACATACAAAATCCATCCCTCTTTGGGGTAAGATAGGGGAAAGAGACCAAAAAAATGCCTGATGTGTTACATCAGAACATTTATAATGGTACATAAAGACATTGCAGAAGACATTTATTCTAATAGCCTTGGATGTTCAATCCGTGTAATAGTCCAGTCTGGTTTTGCTCCTTCTGTAAATTCTCTCTGAAACCTGGAAAAGGTAGCACAATAAGTGAAGAGTTATTAAAATTCACTTGATCCTTAAAGAGTTACTAGCAGCAACAAGAAAACATGAAGAAACATTTCACTTGGTCATTATTCCTGTTACAGCTCATTAAGCTCTGATGCTTACGGCCCAAAATAGAAAATTAGAATTACTCCTACCGCAAGAAACAAAGCTCACTGAATTTATCAGGAGTCTTTCCACTGACTTCAAAGTGTTTTGGCTCAGATCCCACAGATGGGATCAAGCAGCAAGAGTAAAGATCCTGATATCAACAGAGTACCGACTTTCCATAGCAATAACCATGAATATGCTTTGTGGCAAATCTTCATCCTAAATAAAGGGTTTCATTTCAATGAGACAGTAACTGCGTAGTAAAATGAACATGCCAGATGCTAGGCACTCTACCCAAAAAAATGCATTTTCACTGAACTATATTTTAAATACTTAGAAGTAATACTTTTTCAGAAATATAACAAAAATCAAGCTAGTACTAAAGTAGTACAAGTAGTACGAAATCTCTCTAAATGTAAGTTCCACAGGGGCTGACAGGAAAATAAAAACATGAACCCTCTGTTTTCAAAAAAGTCTTCCCCTTTCCTTTTGTAGTCATCAATACCTTCTCCCCTGACCTTGTCAGTTTTGGCTGGTTGTCACAAAGGTAAGTCTGAATCCAAGCTCGATATCCATGTTCCCAAGTCATCTATAGACTGTGGACAAGAGCAGTGTAACCTCATTGCTTTGCTATTACATACCAGTTTACTCTTGGACACTGCCTTCTCCAAACACCCAAACACTACAGTAACATTTAGTTTCCAAAGTCTCTAGTACCCTCATCCATTTGAGTTTAGGTCAGCACTGTAAGTAGCAGAAGGAACACCTACTTGCAAAGATAACTCTCTACGAGGAATTACAAATTCATACTCAATGCCTTAAGTGGAGGCTCTTGAAATTAACGGGGGCATCAGAAGCCTCCAACTCTAAGGAAGATCCTGAATATGGCTGAGGGATGGCTCCAGGAAAACCCATCCGCGTGAAAACCATTTGTGTCCTTGGAATGCTTCTTTTATTCTGTGGCTCCAAGTCGTATAGACTCTACAATTTCTCCAGTTCAAATGCGGGTTTAGAAGTCACTGACTATATTGTGTTTCTCAGACAAAACCTCTCACTTTTTCCAGCTTCTGAGAATGTTATATTCAGTACATGTTGCCAACTGTGCAGGTATTTTTGCTTTGCTCTGTCGCAGTAAACGAACACAGATACTATTTATAAGCATTCCAATGAAAATCTATCTACCTGACTAGTTTGTGCTTCAAGGGCTTAGATTACAGTGGCATGAACCATCCAAACACCAAGTGACGTTTGCCTTGTTCTGTCTTTTCGCGGAAAGGATTTGGCTAATATTTTCCTCTTTTACAGGCTACTTTCTTGAGCTAATTGCAGTATTGACTCTTGTGTGGGAAGTGACAGGTCAACGGAACTGCACTTGACTGCTTAGCTTGACTGCATTGCTGTTAGCCGTACCGCAAAAAACAGGAACCAAGGACTGATACTGGCCTCTTTCCTGAAAGCTGCAGGAGCAGTATAAGGAAAGAACCAGAAACCCTATTTGGTGCTCCAAGTTTTGTCGTTCCTGACAGAGAAAGGGTTCCCATTAATCTCAAACTCAGAAACAAGGTAAAAGCACGATGACTTTAATGGATTTTTTAAAAAATTTGCCCCTAGAATAAAAACTGGGAAACTGGATGAGAGCTCACTTAGATTAAAGCAAGGTAAATAAAAACACACCACATTCTGCACTGTCCTGCTGAGAACGCTTCCACTTCCCAGATTAGTTTCCACCGAGCTAGCCCATGTACTTGCCTATATACAGTTTACAGCAAAGAAAAGGACAAGAACACTTACTCATAGTTTGCTGTTAAAAGATGCTTTTTTTCTTTTGTACTTTCATCTCCAAACATAATCTGGAAAACTTTAGTTTCACCTGGCACCTCATCAGGTAAGTTAGCACCATTCAGATACCAAAAACGCATCAGTATACTAACAAATTTTCTTCCTGTTGGAAATAAAACCAAAGTATAAGTTAGATCTCTCGAACAATATATGTCTGTCATTGGTCAGGTATTCCTATTTGCAATCTAGCATGTGTTCTACTGAGACCCAGGAAGAGCAACCGACTTTAGCCAAAAGGAATGCATGATAGAATAATGAACAATAAAGCTATTTAAAACTATATTCATGCTGTTTAGCAAAAATAAAATTACGTTCAGCAAAAAGTTATGTAATTCATCATGAATTTTGCCTGACATGGTATACAGTCAAACTGCATGAAAAGCAGGTTGCTACAGGTTCCAAAGTCTACAAATGATACCACAAAAGTACATAAAGCTGAGGAGCTGAACCTCAGGATCAAGCATAGAGAGAGGAAAAAAATCCCAAAACTGTAATCCAAAAACAGGGGAAAAAAACCTCATTGGGCTTGAGAACCTGAAACGCTCACTGGAAGACTCAGGCTTAGACTACGAACTACCTCAACTGCGTGTGATAGAGGACCAAGCACATAGTGCTAGCAGTTAAACAAATGAAAAACTTATTTGACTTCATCATTAGTTTAAAAATCAAGATGTCCTAGAACAGAATATTTTCCATGAAAGCAGAGAGGTGAAAACAATAAAACTTGTTTCATTATCCAGCCTTCATTATTCTTCTTGCAAGATGTATTTTCATGGTTCAAGCAAACAGCTTTCTGTATAGAGTATAATTGTTTTTCTATAATTAAAATAATTTTTAAAATTAAATACAAATATATTAAAATAGTAAAGAAATAAAGAATAATTGTTTTTGAATGGTTTGAGATGAGTAAGGACAAATAACGTAAATATATGAAATTAGAAAAGAAGAGGAATGAGCAAAACTTAAACAGAATGCAAAATACTACCATGACTCATTAATAGTAATGTCTCAGGTTCTGGTTTAAAAGGAAATCTGGGAACTATAAATAGAAGAATAAGAAATGAGAAACAGAATTCAAAAAAAAACATCTGTAAGGAGAATGCCTGCTAGAAGTAAAACCAGGAAAACAGATTGCCCATTGATCAAACCTTTTAAAAGCCTAAACATACCATCATCATCATAGTAAATGCGAACATCTCCTTCTGTTGTGTACATGATTGCATCTATGTCAGCTGCTAAAGCATCCCTGTGGTTGTCAGGAAGCAATGAAATCTTTTCCTTCAACACCTTAAGTGCCTAAATTTAGAAAAACTGTAGCTTAGTTTTTTATCAGGAAACTGAAGTAACAATCTTTTCTATTGCAGTTAATAAAAAGAGCTCTATCACTGTAACATTTAAATATACAACATAGAGGATGTGAAAAAGCACTTGGGCACTCCCAATCCCAAATTCAGCCCTATTAAAAAAGATCTATTTAATGAGCAGAATGAAACGCAATGAAACCTAAATATTTAAAAAAATCTTTTAAGAAGTTACTTTGCAGTTTACATGTTGATAGTAAGGCATGTAAGCCTAAAAAATACCAGTTAAGCTTGCTTCTACAGTCATACTTACACTCTGCCTTCTTTCTGCTGCCTTCTCTCTATAGATATATTCCTTAGGTTTTGATTCAATTATTCCTTAGTTATCTTTCATAAATTTCTTTGAAAAGCAATTCCATTACCCTTAGGTTCATTTTTGTCATTCAGGGAACCACATTCCCATTGGAAAATGTTTAGAAACTTGTAAACCAGAAAAGATGGGAAAATCATTGCTTTTAGAGTTAAGTTTCATATGACATTCATAGCCATAGTATATGATTGTCCTAAGGACCTATGCAACTCTTAAGTAAAATGGGTATGGTGTATGAACTGAACAGGAGCATCACCTCAAACACCACATGAGAAAGTGGGGTCACAAGGAAGGAATAATGAAGCTGTTCAACATTTATTTTTAACTCAGACTTAGTTTTTAGCCTAACTTAAGTTGCCGTTTTTGAATAATAAACAAATCCAGAGGTCAAATGGAAGCAAAAGAGGCAATTTTCACTAGAAGCTATTTTATCTACAAGGAAGAGATACAAAATTCACAAAAAAATGGTCTGGTATCACAGCCTCAGTCAGCTCACGCTCTGGTTACCTGAGGTCTCTGGATTTATATTAGCTTTGATCACCCAGAGAATTTAAGATGAGCAGAGAAAGAGGAGGTGCTCTTTCAAAAAAACTATAAGAAACAAACTCACATTTTATTGCTATCTCTGCTCAGAGAGAGAAGACAAGATTGTCCAGTAGGGATGCACTAGAATAGCACCAAATTTTTTGCTGCAAAGGCATGGGTGGCAATAGGGCAGGTCAAGCTGACATCCAGTAACAGGGCAGACATAGACCTGAAGTAGCTCCTCCACTTGGCTCTGCTGCATCTGCTACCTCCGTCCCCTGGGAAGGCCAAGACAACTTCAGCAATGAAAAATTCATAAAAAGATAGAACACACAGCACTGATGTTTAACTAGCCAGGTCAGTCACATCCCTGAGATCATGACACAAGATTGAGGCCTCCCAGATGAGACCAATAATTGGCCATGTGATCTCTTTGGGGCTGCACACCTATTAGGAAAGCAGGGATGAACAAAAATTCGCCACCTAAATCCTGGTGCACCCACCGAGACATTCGACCATACTATTTGCTTATACCAATAGAGGTATGCAACTCTGCCCTCCCTCCAGAATCCACCAACTTCTAACCCTTTCCAGTACACCAGTCTTCTTGGCATTTGGTCCCTATGTTGAATGGCAAGAACCATTACAAATATTTTTTTTATACAGTAACTTTAAATTAACTTTCATGCCTTGAAATTACACATAAAAGTTGCAAGACAAACAGAATTGCCCTGTCCAATGTCAGAATCTTTTTTCTCAAATTATACCAAATTGGTAGCGTCTGCAAATACTGACAGGTGGGAACGTATATTATTTCATAACTGAAAATCTATTGGCAGAATAAGAGATGGAAAGCATTTACCTCCTCTGATACAAGTTCTTCCAGCAGATCAAGTTTACGCTGAGACAGCAGCTTTGAAACAAGAGAAAAGGCCTGCAAAAAAAGATAAATATGTGAACAGATAATTCTAGGTTGGCTTATTTTTCAGCAAAATCCATCGTCTGCAAGTGGCCCAAATATTCCACGACTGAAGATTTCAATGTTTGCAGTATATGTCATCATTGAAATGCAATCCTTGTGTCTAATTAAAAAAAAAATTGATCAAAATATAAGGTTTCTTTTCTATTAAAGAAAGTAATTTGAAAGGTATAATAAATTCAGCTTCATTCAGAGAATCAAGCCCTTTGAAAACAGGAAAGTAAATGCACAACTTACTAAAAAAGTTACCTATACAACTTGTTTTTATGTGCTCTCTTGGTTAATTCAAACAATCTAAATCTTTCCCGGTAAATGTTCTGTTCCCCTGCCCCTTTTCCTAGCCCATCTCGGTTTCAGTCAAAACAAAAGTTCAGGCTAACAACAAATGTCTTTATGAGTCTGGGTTAGTCTCTACACCTCAGGAAACTCAATCTCTCTTTCCCCACCCCCCATTTTGCAGGTACAGCTACGTATGATGATGCCCTTATGTATTCAAAAAGTGTACTTGTGAAACACTGACAGCATGTTGATCTCTACATTAAAAAAAAAGAATGAGGGCAAGGAAGGACATGCAGTTCTGCATGCACTGCAACTAATTCAATGTGGTTTTCTTCGTCTCTCTTGATTAGGGATCTCAGGCCTTTTTCAAAAAATAAACTCAATTCAATAACTGAAGTTTCACAGCAGTTAACTCACTAATTTTTATAAAATTAGCTTTAAGATCTCTACCTCTCTGACTTACTTTGTTGAAAAGGCTCATAGGGTTGAAAAACTTGAAGGAACAAGTATGTGCATCCATTCTATGACTGCCTAAGCTTTGCCATCTTAGGAAAACCAGGTAAAAATACATAAGTTTTCCCCTAAAGCATCTGGAAATGCCTTTCTTCATACTATTCTGATAATTTTGGGATCTGGGAAAATAAAACAAACAAAATCCCAAACTCAACCTCAAAAACAAAAAGCACACCTCTGACTATTCTCAATTCTTCCAAAAGGCCAAAAAGTTGAGCACTTGTTTTACACTCAAGTACCTACTGAATGCATATGCATTTAACTTAACATTTAACTTAAAGTTAAAGAAGGTCTCTACAGTGAATTCAACAGACTTCAAATGATGTCAGCACCAAAGATCAACCAAGCCAAGGCTGCTCTAGGGTGCTGTCTATAGGGTGGAGTCCAAAGAACAGAAATCAGTACAAATTTTTCCTCAAGAAGGGCAAACACTTCTCATGTTACTGTAGTACTACCTCAGGAGACTCACTAGAGCCACATTTTCAGCTCTGTCATAATAACATGGTCTCAGAACATCTCATTCTGCATATAAAATATATGAGATTCCCTTGCTATGACTCCAGAAGCTGAAAAAGGAGATGCACACACACACCTATCTCTGCTGACCAGCAGTACAAAGTTTAACAGAGCGCTCAAGAGGGCCATGTATCTCTATACTGCCAGACACCTGGCATAAACCAGTACCTTTTGTTGCCAAGACATTGTTCCATTTTAGCAGCATAATTTCAAATGTGTATTGGGAACCAGGGGAGAAGTCTAGCACGTGAACACAGCCTTCTTGCACAGCGACGTGGTACCCCCAGCCATAGCTGCCCACCTGCCCTCCCGGCTGCCCGGTGACCCCCGGGGCCGCGCCCCCGCATGCGAGGGGGCCTCAGTCCCACACACGGGCCGAGCCCCCGCACAGGCAGCCC